AGCCAGGGGTGTGGGGAAGTGAAAAGCCCACCAGACAGGATATATCAGTACTGGCCCCATGCTCGGAGCCCAGAAAAGGCAGTCGTGTTTGAGCTACCTGGGAAAGTAAACAGGTAAACACTGGGCGACTTAGAGGGCCACTTGTCATGAAGTGGGGCCACTTAGCCTGTGTACATTCACCTCCCTTCCTGGGCCCCCTGCAATTGTTCAGCTCTTCTTTGCCTGCTCCAGCCTCCTGAGCTGAGGCTTTAGTCTTCCCCAAACCCAGAGCAGCAGAAGTGGACCAAGGACTCCAAGGAGCCTCCAAAGAAGATTCTCTCTAGCTTCCAGGGAAGAGTTTCTCTTTCCCCTCACCAGCCTGTGTCTCACATTGCACCCATCATAAACTTAGCAAAAGTGAACAGAGAGATTTGTGCTGAATCTGGGGCCCCCATGCAGAAAATTAAGACCAGGGATGGGTAGGGCTACAGCAGTTGGAGTCACCCCAGCAGAAGAGCGTGTAGTTCTAGACACTAAGGAGATGCCAAGAGGATCTCTCTGAAGCTCAGGGTATGCTGGGTTCAGAACATCTGATATCTACCTCAACCTCCCGGAGTCTATGGCAGAGAAAGCCCACTGCAGAGCTCAGGAGCTTCCCGGAAAATTACGGCTGACCCCTAACCCAAACCTGATTGAACCCAGGATATTGTTTTCTCCTGGGTTCCAGATAGAACCTGGAAAGAGTTTACCAAAGAATTCCGAAAGGGGGAACTAGTGCACATCCACGTAGAATTGAAACTGGTACCAGCGGACGCTAATATATTCAGGTGGAGCGTTAATAAAGAATTTTCTCCCTAAGAGGGGCGCGGGACTATCGCCTTTCAAACTGCTGGGTATGAGGGATCCTGTGAAAAAAGGAGGTCCTGGGCTCCAAAAGGCCCCGATATGGTGCTTCGGAGGGACGCCTCTTGGGGAGTCTTCAGGACGCAATCACCTGTTTAATTTGGACAGAAGAGATGCGTTTAGCATCTGACCCCTCTGCTCTTCTGGCTGCACCTCGGCCTACCAAATGCAGGAGACCTTGGAGTAAACTCTGGGCTTGGGACTTGCCCCCCCCCCCCTTGGCCGCCAGCTGGGCCCGAGCTGGCATCCGCAGACTGCTCCTGGGGGACTTGAATTTTATGATCTTCCTCTAACAAGCCCAGTTTCTCCCCTTCAATTATGGGCCTCCCAGTGGTCTCCCCTGGCCTTTTCAATTGCAAATGTTAACGCTTTGGAAACGGACGCGGGAACCACACCAGAGGGATGGGGAAATGGACTCTGCAGTGTCCCTGGAGAGAGACCCTGAGCTGTATAGATTCAGTTGGTCAGGGAGCTGTGGCTGGAAGCAAAGACAGAACCTTCTCCTGCTCTCTCGCTCGCCGCCCGGTTGCCCTTAGATCAGGAGAAGGAAAAATGGGTGTACCAGTTGGGGTGAGGGTGGAGGGGAGATACCAGGTGATTGCCTGCGCCCGCAGGGAAAGTTTAGACTCGCAGATGCTCGGGAATGGGGACCTTGGGAGCTAAGATGCTGAAGGGTTTTGGCTAGTTGAGGCCAAAGAGCAGGCCCAGTTGCAAACCAGACCTTTGTGAACTGTCCTGGGGACTTCCCTCTCACTACTCTCCGGTGATTAATTCCCAGAAGCCTGGATTCCCGTAGGAAAACAGTTGTTTCTCAGGTGCTCTGTGCACCTTGCAAGCTCCCAGGGGCGAGGGGAGGGGACATGATCAACAGCTACACTGGTTATATCCAAAAGAAAGGCCCACCATGCTGGGAGAAGGGAGGAAGAAGTTGGAAACTACAGGGAACTAAGTAGTTCCAAGCCCAGGAAACAAGCAAGCTCTGGAAGGCATCTCAGGAGCAACCCCACCACCACCATCACCAGAATGGTTCTGGGCACTAGAGATTGTGTGTGTGTGTGTGTGTGTGTGTATGTGTGTTTGTGTGTGTATGAGAGAGAGAGAGAGAGAGAGATTTTTTTTTTTTAAAGACCACTTCTTACCAAAGGACTGCCTTCCTACTCAACCCAGAATTGGTCCAGTCCTACTAGGCTTCATTCTGCCCCCAGACCCCAATCCTGGAGGCTAACCTAGTGCCCAAGAGGGCTCTCCTTTCTTAGGACAGAGGAATAAGAGGAGGGACAAAAGGAGGGTCTTTTCTGCAATGCCTGGGTTGAGGAACTTTTTCTTGCCAGTTATTTATTTTAGCAGCCAAATAACAATGGCCCCAGGCAGGCCCACCCCCTCCCCTATGTCCAAACTCGGTGGTGCTTCCCCGACTCCAGGAAAACCGACTTCCCTCCTCCAACCGGACAGAGCAGTGAGCTCCCACGTGAAAGGGGGAAGGGAGAGGCAACAGGCAGGGAGGCTGAGAAAGACAGAGAGTGGAAAGGGGGGGCACGAAAAGTAACGGGTTTGAGGAACACGATTCAAACCAGTTTTTAATTCTTGAGGGAGGAAAAAGGGGGGAGAAAGGAGAAAAGAAAAAGTAAGAGGAGAAAGAGAGGAATCGAGGAGCGTCGACATGAAGGGGTTTCCTTAATATTGTGGACGGATTCAGAAATGAATGAAGAGATAGTCCATTGAAAAGGGTTGAATACCATGACAACTAGGAACAACCTTAGATTTATTCCAAACAGTTAGGACACATTGAAAGAGAGCGTCAATCATGTATTATTTCGCCACTGAAATAAATGCAAAAACCGAGCCGGGACAAAGGCTTCCAACGGGAGCGGGACATTTGTCTACATTTCGCTCATTGTCCGCAGCTTAGCAATCGGTTTGTATTTGTGTTTGCCCGGGTCCGACCACCCAGGACGCGCCGACGAGGGGCTCGCTCCAACCTGGGCCATTGTCACCCACGTCACATACTGGGGGCGAGGCAGCGAGGGCTGCAGAAAGCCGCGGAACGGCTCCGAGAGAGGCGCCCTCACCCGGCGCTGGCAACCCCGGGGGTGGCGGGGGGCGCCGCGGCGGCCGAAGCAGCTGCGCGGAAGAAGGACCTGGCGTCCGCACACTCTGCTTCTCCCGCGCTAGCTAGGGCTGCCCAGGCTCCCAGCAGTGGGGAAGAAGAGACCGGACAACCTCACCCCTCCTCGCCCCTAGGCCCAGTTCTTTCCAGACGTTCCTGCGGGGCGAACAAGCTTATTGTGGCAAACCTCCTCCTCTCGCCCCTCCCCAAATTTAAACTGGACCCGGGGCTAGTAAGAGCGGAGTGACCTTTTCCACCCGGGCGCGCAGGAGTAGGACTGTCCTGGGAAAGTTTAGTTTTCAGGTTGGAAAGTTAACACTAACCTAATGCAAACTGGGAACCCAGAGCGCATCCTCAGAATGCACCCCCCGGGACGTCCAGAAGAAGAAATTAAAGGACTTTCGTGGGAATAGAAAACTCCGAAGAAAACGCAGCATCATCCGCTCACCCTGGGACCCCTCCCCTGTGACTTTCTGAGTCCTCACACAGGTTGAAGCACAAGCTTCCCCCGCCCCTGCCACGGTCTCGCCCGCGCCCCTCCTGCAGCTTCACCTTTAGCTTAAGGGTGGGGGGGGGGGTTCCGAGAGACCAGGATAATAGAGAGCCGGAAAGGAGCGGGGTCGTCTGCCCTTCCCTCTCCACTCAGAAAAAGGTGGTGCCTGCGGGTGCCAAAAGCGGTAGGGCCTGGGTCCGAATCCAGCCGGAGTCAAAGCTCCTTGCTCCCACCCCGCCCTTCTCTAGACCGCCCGCAAAGCAGAAAGTGAACTGCGTGTCCTCCGCTGCCGCAAAGAAATGGGGGGTGGGGTGGCGGAGTGAAGGAAATAAATGAGTCTTTAGCAAATAAAGGGCGGCTGGGAGGGGGTGCTTGGTGGTGGCTTTGGCCGGCCCGGAGCCTAGCCCTCTGCTGGGTTTCGAGCTCTTTCGCGTTTAACTAGAATCAATTACTTGCCTTGTCATTTCTAGTACTCATCCTTAAGCCTCAACCAAAATATTGACCTAGGAGGCTTACAGAAGTTGGGTTCTTGCCATTTGAACCGGATCTTGTTTAGGGAACCACCAGCAAGGGGAAAGAGAGATTTCCGCGACTCTGTCTACGCCCCCTCCCCCCCTTTTCCAGAGGCGCCACAACTCGCCAATTTTCTGGCTGGGGGTGTTGCGGGGGGGGGGGGGCGGGGAGGTAGGAACTGGGAAATGCTAAAGAGGCTTTTTCCCTCCCCTTCCTGGCTTCTGTTTTGGTCCTCCCCGCCACCCACCCACACACCTTTTTTTAAGAAGCAATTTGTTAAAACGGCCTTTCAAGTGTATGGACTCGCTAGCGACGCGGTGGTCCTTTGTATGTAAATACTGAAGGGGAAAAAAAAAAGGCTCTCCCGATCTTTGCAATTAATTGACACGTTACACCTCTCATCTTGCTCTTGCTCTAGAGGGCCGTTGGCTGGGAGCGCGGAGCTCCCCAAAACCCACAATTTCACATCTGCAAATACTGTCTTCATCCACTTGACTCCCAAGACCCGCCCACACGTGGCCAACCTTTGCGTTTTTAATGTCTCTTCCCCTTTTTCCACCCTTCTCTTGCTCCCTCTCTTACTCCCCCTCCCTCCCTCTCTCTTTTTCCCTCCCTCCCTCCCTCTTTCTCCCCCTCCCCCCCTCCCCAGGTTCGTGAGTGGAGCCCAGCCTTATATGGACTGATCGCTCGGGCAATGGCCCATTTTTTCCTCGCCACCAGCCGCCACCGCGCTCCGAGCGGCCGCTGGAGCCCAAGCTGACGCCGCCTTGGCACCTCTCCTGGAGTTACAAACTAAGGCCGGGCCGGCGCTAGGCGCTCAGGCAGCCCAGCTCCCTGCGTCCATTTCCGCGTGCTTCCCGAGAAGACAGAGGCTCTGAGTTGGGCTTTATTCCGCCCCCCTTCCCCCACTGGTTCTTTCTCTTTTTTAAAACAAATAATAATTACTTCAATAATTAAAGCCCATCCCCCCTTCCCTCCCCCAACCCCTCCCCCCAACCCCCTCCCCCGCCCTCCAGGGCTGGGGAGCGCTACGAATTGACCAAGTGAAGCTACAACTTTGCGGCATAAATTGCGGGGTCCTGAACCATGTCGCTGACCAACACAAAGACGGGATTTTCGGTCAAGGACATCTTGGACCTGCCGGATACCAACGATGAGGAGGGCTCGGTGGCCGAGGGGCCAGAGGAGGAAAGCGAGGGGTCTGAGCCGGCCAAGAGGGCCGGGCCCCTGGGGCAGGGCGCCCTGGACGCGGTGCAGAGCCTGCCCCTGAAGAGCCCTTTCTACGACAGCAGCGACAACCCGTATACACGCTGGCTGGCCAGCACGGAGGGCCTCCAATACTCCCGTAAGTAGTGAAACTTGGCTGCTGCAGCCCTGACAGCCTCCATTCCTGCGGCTGTAGCCCGGACTGGACGCTGGGAGTTAAGGGGGAAAGAAGCCAAAGTCCAGATACTTCACCCTGGGTTCCTAGAAAGATTTTTTTTTTTTTTTAACATTTGTTTGGGATGCTCTCTTTTCTCCTGGTCAAGCCCCCTTAGTCTCTGCAAAAGACTTGGTCTTAGCTTTTTTTTTTTTTTTTTTCCCAACATGAGAAATTAAGGAGGCAGAGAAGAAAGGAAATGCCTCCTAAGGGCTGGTTGCAGATGTCAACCGACACTGATAGCTTGGGCCCTAGACCCTAGACTCCAACCACCGGGAGGGACTGGCCTGACACACTGGAACTAGCCAGCGAGCCTGGTCCCGGCTGCGGGTAGAGGGTGAGGGAGGCTTGGGGTGGCCTGGGTATAAGTAGCTCACCCTGCCCCCTGTGTGATCATAGAGGACGCTTTGTGCAGTGCAGGGGGTGTCGAGAAAGACCGAAAGAAAAAAGGAAAAAAAAAAAAAAGAAAGCCCCCAAAACCTGCCTTAAATGGCCGAGACGATCAATGCCGGGATTGTGGGGGATTTCTCTTAAAAATCTGCCCACGTCTCTACAGAGAGGAATCAGCTTAAGGGGGCCGGAGCCCTTAACCCGCAATGATCTCCCATGCACCCCCAGCAATTCGCACCCACACTGTGCGAATCCCTAGAACCGTGAGCCCTAAGCCCCCACTCCTACTGATTTTCCCCTTTACCCTGGAAGACCCCGACGGCTTTCTCAGGCGTGGCGCAGGGTAGGGATCATCATAGAGGCAGCCGCGCTGGGCTGCAGAGAGCTGAGGGCCAGAGGCCCACGGAAGAACGAGGTGCTCTACTCTGGCCCAGGCGGCGCGCGGCCTCCAGGCGCCTGACGCGCTTCTCTCCCCTCCAGTGCACGGGCTGGCGGCGGGCGCTCCCCCCCAAGACTCAAGCTCCAAGTCCCCGGAGCCCTCGGCTGACGAGTCACCGGACAATGACAAGGAGACCCCAGGCGGCGGGGGGGACGCAGGCAAGAAGCGGAAGCGGCGGGTGCTCTTCTCCAAGGCGCAAACCTACGAGTTGGAGCGACGCTTCCGGCAGCAGCGGTACCTGTCGGCGCCAGAGCGCGAGCACCTGGCCAGTCTCATCCGCCTCACGCCTACGCAGGTAAAGATCTGGTTCCAGAACCACCGCTACAAGATGAAGCGCGCCCGGGCGGAGAAAGGTATGGAGGTGACACCCCTGCCCTCACCGCGCCGGGTGGCCGTGCCCGTCTTGGTCAGAGATGGCAAACCGTGCCACGCGCTCAAAGCCCAGGACCTGGCAGCTGCCACCTTCCAGGCAGGCATCCCCTTTTCGGCTTACAGTGCTCAGTCACTGCAACACATGCAGTACAACGCCCAGTACAGCTCGGCCAGCACCCCCCAGTACCCGACAGCACACCCCCTGGTCCAGGCCCAGCAGTGGACTTGGTGAGCACCGCCCCTCCGAGACTCGCGGCCCCAGGCCCAGGCCCCACCCCGGCGACTGCGGCGGCGGCGGCGAGGAGGACTCGGTCCATACGGTGGTTATTATTATTATTATAATTATTATTATAGAGTCGAGTTGACTCTTGGCTCCGTTGGGGAGGCGCCGGGAGGTTGCCTGCGCCTCCTTGAAGTGGCAGATTCCATCCACCCGACTCTGTCCCCATCTCTCTCTCCTTTGAACCTTGGAGAGGGTTGAACTATAAGCCGTGTTTACAGAATGTTTGCGCAGCTTCGCTTCTTTGCCTCTCCCTGGGGGGTACCAAACCATCCCAGCGTTAAAGTCGTCACTTGAAAATGAGAAAAAGAGCGAACCCCCACCCCGCTTTCGTGAATTTTGTAAAATATGTTTGTGTGAGTAGCGATATTGTCAGCCGTCTTCTAAAGCAAGTGGAGAACACTTTAAAAAATATAGAGAATTTTTCTTTTTTTTTTTATAAGAAAATGCTACATATTTATGGCCATGTAAACGTCCTGATAACTGGTGGCAGATTTCGCTTTTCGTTGTAAATATCGGTGGTGATTGTTGCCAAAATGACCTTCAGGATGGGCCTGTGAACCCTGCAGGCCCAACTCCTTTCTTGGTGGTTTGTTTTGGTTTGGTTATGTTTGGGTTACCCCTGTTTTCTTTTTTTGCTTTTTAAAAACATTTTGTTCAGTGCAAACATTTTTCAAATATGAAAAAGAAAAAAAAATGTGTAGGCGACAAGCCGCCTGCCCCATTTTCCGGGTCCTGAGCCCCGGAACTTGGAGCTCAGCGGTTCCGGGCGGTTCCCCAAGAGCGCCGGGCGCTGAAAACTTTCGATTTTTTAAGTAATTTTAATAAAAATCCTGTGTTAAAAAACAAACAAACAAGCCCAGACTTCCCGTTTGTCTGACTCTGTGGCCCTGCACCGGGACAGAGGCCTTGGGCAAGTAACCAGGTCCAGCCGCACCCAGCGCTCGTTCGCACCCGCTTTCCGTCTCCCCAGGGTAGGAGGCCGGGGTGCCGGGGCGCTGATGGAGCTCCCAGGACAGGCCTCATCCGGACTGACCTGCCGGACAGGGCGCTTAGGACCCGGGGCCGGAGTGGGAGCGCTCAGCCTCCAGCCTGCAAACGGTTGGCCCAAAGTCCGGGGTGGCCCTGCCTCTCTCGGGCCTCTTTCCCAGCTCCGTGCCTGTGTGAACTCCTGCGTCCCGGCCTCCGGAGGAAAAGTGACTTTGAGAAACGCAAAGGCAAGGAGAGCAAGCCCCCCTCGCTTACCCAAATCTACGAGTGGCTCCTTCAGCCTGAGGAGCTGTTGAAGCCACTACACTCGATGACTTTCACTTTGTTGCGTTTGATTTACTTCGCGCTAAGAAGGGAGGGGACTCTGAGGTTGAGACTGGTCGGCTTTCTTTCTACTCCCCACCCCCTTTTCAAAATCTGTGGACGAGTGGAGGCTCTAAGGCCTGGACGCAGAAAGAGTTTTGTGGGGGGTTTTGTTTGTTTTTGTTTTGCCGGGGGTGGGGTGTGGATTCCGAGCGCGCAAGGCTTTGACTATTAGTAGGGACACTCTGGGTTCTGGGAGCAGGAGAGGGTGGGGTTGTTGCATCCTCCTCAAAGCTTTATGCCCCCGCCCCAGCCTGGGAGAGCGAGTCACTGGTGATTCCAGCAAACTGAGCTTTCTTCCTTCTTGCCGCCGCCCCCATCTTTTCTGGATTCCCAGTCTCTTTCTCCAAGACTGGATCCCTGGCTGGTCCCCTCCCAGCCCTGGGCAGTCCGCATGGTCTCCCCAGGCTAGTCCGTAGGCATGGAGTTGGGTGAATTGTTAGAAAGTAAAGACTGGAGGTGGGGTGGGGCACTCTGGCCACCAGGGCTAGAGTAGGGGCAGAGGAAAGTGGGCAAACAGCTCCCCCCCCCCCCGCTAGCCCCCGGGAGTTTGCAATCCGTCCTTCCCCAGCAGAGAACGGACTCCATCCCACCCTCGTTTCTGGACCCGATCTCCTTGGCGGATGCTGGCGCACACTTGGCCACGGGGGGGAGCGTCTCAGGGGGGCTAGGCGGACGCAGGAGTGGGGGGCGCGGTGCACCTTTCTCCTCTATCTCGCGATTTCCGAAATTACCTGCAGCTCTGTGGCTCAGAGCCCAGCGGGCGCTCTAAGATGCCTGGAGATTGAAAGTCAGCTTATTTGGAAATAGTATCTCTTGTTTTCCCCGGAGCTCCCACCATAAAGACTGGGGAGGGGGAGGTGAGAAGGCCAGGCAAAGGGAGCGGTCCCAGCTGACTTTCTCCCTCCCTTCAGTTGATGATCAGATTTAATTCAATATCTAAAGCAAACATGATTATCCGTGTGACCAAATCTGTGCGTCAATAGCACTCAGCGCAACACGCCCAGGGACGTGATTACACTTTATTCTCGTGTTGCGCACCGGCCCCTGGATAATTGAGGGCGCGGGAGTCTTTCTAATATCCCTGGAAAGGTCCTGTCGCATCTCCAGGCTCATCCGCTGGGAAAGGAGCAGTTTCCCTAAATAGTGAAAAGTCTCCCTTTGTTCTCCTTACAAGCTTGGAAATATTGGGGGTTTTGTCTTGCTATTAGTAAAGGCCAGAAATTTCCCTTCAAATTGTTTGTGGTGCAATGTTCAACCTGCTCTGGTAACAACCACTCAACAATCTTCTAGCAACTTCCCCTAACCCGGATCCTTGGGGGAGGGAAAGAAGTGGGTGTTCAGAGTTGGCTGAAGAGGGGTTGTCAAAAGGCCTCCGGTGCAGCCTGGAAGACTCAAGTTGGTTTTGTTTGTACCAGGTCCTAGGCCTACCAAGGGCCAAGAATAATCACAAGAACCTTCCAGGCCTGCAGGGAAGAAGGGAGAAGCAAAGAAGGCCCAAACATTTGCAGATTTTCACCGAGTATGGGTTGAGGACACATTTGGGTTGGTGGACAGACCCCCAGACCTGCAGTCCGGGTGTGTTGCTGATTCTGCCAAGAGCCTGGAGGTGGGCCTGGCGCCCGCCTCTCTGTCCTCGGGTCCCGTAGAGTCAATAAAAGCTCCTGCGGAGCCCTGTGTGGCCCTAACCCCGGCGCCCTGGGAGCGCACCCGGCGCGGGGTCCGCTTTGGCAGTCTATCTTCGCCCAATCTACAGCGGGCCGTACAAAACGGCACAATGGGAAAGCTGGGAGCCGGAGATGTTAGAGGCGTGCATATTAAAAAGGGACAGAGAAAGGATCGCAGGGGACAGAGAGAGGGGAAGAGGGAGAAGGGGCTCACCCTCCCCCCGGCCCCACCCCGCACCATTCAGCGCGCTTATCGCGGGCAGTGAATCCCGGAGTCAGGCAGAAGTCTCCTTGGGGTTTTGTTGGGCCTGTCACTGGGTCCCTTTGTCATCCTCGGACTCCATGCTGGATTCCATATGGCCAGCTGGGCCGAGGGAGCGCGAGGAGGGACCCGCACAAAACCCAAATTGTGTCCGGCTTTCAAACCCTGTATTGTTGTCTGTGAAAGGAAGACGCATTAAAAATTCGTGCTATATCTATTGGGGAGGAGGATGGAGGAGGGGAAAAAAGCCACCCCTGTCTTTGATGGCTTCAGAGGGCGCTTGCCCCGCCTAGGCCCCGTGACACACTGAGAAGAAAATCTCTCTCTCTCTTTCTCTCTCTCTCTCTCTCTCTCTCTCTCTCTCTCTCTCTCTCTCTCTCTCTCCTTCCCTCCCTGTCTCTCTCTCTCCCTCCTTCCCTCCCTGTCCCTGTCTCTCTCTCCCTCTCTTCGCCCCCACTCCGACCCACTACCAAACTTAGGACCTAACGCTCTGGTCGTGGTCTGTGAGCCATGTGCCTTTGCGACGCTCCTGTGTGTTGGCGCTGACAGCCAGGCTTCTCCTGCTTGGGCGCCCATTGTCGAAGCCATCGGACGGTTCCGGGGCTCCGGAGGCAATCGTCAAGGCCTGGTTGATGCTCCGGTCCCGTTTGGGTTTCACGGCTGTAGGGCCTTTTCAGTTCCTTCAAAAAAGGTTCTGAGAGGCTGAGGGCCCGACCGCGTGCCCAGCCTGGCTCAGTTTCGGCCCTAGGGATCCCAAGAGCACTTGATATTGGCGGAGCCGCTCGATGACCAAACCAGCTAAGGGAGCGCCTTCGTTTGAATTTCGCGTGGTGATCCTCCTTACATCTTCGTGCCACTGGGAAACCAGTTCAGAAACTTCTTCCAACAGCTTTCCCTTCTCCCAGATTGGAGGTGGGAGAGCCTTTCTCTTTAATTTTGTGTCTCCTGCCTTTTTTTGGTTTGCAAAATTCAGTAACAGGAAGACACAGCCGGGTTCCCAAGGAATTTGCCCATTTTTGCCTCCCCCTAAGCCAGCTGAGTTAACGCAGGGTAGTGGGAGATAATTTGGGTCGTGCTGTCTCCACCTTAAGAGCCAGGTCAAAACTCCGAGCTCCCCATATAAACAATATGTGCTAAACAGAAGAGTTCAACGCTGAGGGCTGTGAAAATAACAATTAGAACTCAAATGAGCACTACTGAGTTGGGGGAAATTTCAGCCAATCCAAAACTTGGGTATCCTCCTTTCCCCCCCTTTTAGTGCCATCGTAGAATCGGATAAATTGATACGAATGGGAAACCCCCTTCTCGACACTCCCCACGCCAGCCAGGGAAATAACTTATTTTCCTTACCTATTGACTGTTGGGCTTAGTGGAGACCTGGTGTGGATTTCTCGAGCCTTTTCAAGAGCCTGGTCATTGAAAAGCTAATCCAATATTTACCGAGCATAAGGACAGTTCTCAGACGTATTTATTAAGACCCATCGCTAAGTGATTACTTGGGCGGAAGACAAAGGCCAGGGAGGGAGCGTGGAGGCGCACCAGCCCCTGCTCTTGCACCAGAAGTTGGAAGCCAGTCGCAAACTGGTGAGGCCCTGAGGTTCCCCTCCCGGTACTTAAGTGGCGCGTGGATTAGATATTGTGTTGGGTGGTATTTCAGGAAATATGTACTTGTGGCTTCCTGAGAGGCCAGGCGCAGTGACACTCTAAACCGTGTCGATATATCATCTTTTATCCAGGATCTGCAAATAAACCCCTGATCCCCTCGGCGCATTATAGCCGCCGCTATCTCGCCAAGGAAGCGATCTGAGTTTTATTGCTTTCGCCAGCGCCCCAACACACACACACACACACACACACACACATACACACACACTCCCCTTTCCCACCCAATCTGGTTTTTAAAGGCTCTATTTTTTTTTTCTCCTTCTGGGGCACCGTTATTAATAAAGCCAATAGGCCTCAGCGCCGCCATCCGAGCAAGTGGAGAAATGCGGGCCTCCAGCGCGCGGATCCCGAGTTTCCTCCATGCGTTTGCCTCGGGGGAGAGAAACTAGCACGTTCGGCGCGGCGGCGCCACGAGGAGGCGCCGGAGCTCCGCTCTCCGCTGCGCGCGGGGCCTAATCCCGGGAGAGCGTCTGGCAGGCCGTTCCCCAGGTTCCTGGCGGTTCTCCTCCAAGGCTCGGCCTCGGGTCGGAGCCCGGTGGGAGGGCGGAGGAGGAGTCGGTGGCTCCAAACCAGAGTTAGATCTGAGAGTCAGATCGCCGAGGCAGCACCCAGCCCGTCCCACCCTCAGCTAGCTGGGGCACTTGCGGACCTTCCTTTCCCACTATTGTAATCCCCTCCCTGTCTTTCCACCCACGTACTACCTGCGGTCCCCACCTCAACTTCCATCACATTTCGGTCTAAACCTCAGCAAACTGTTCCTATGGGCCACTAGGTATGGGATGGGGTGTTCCTTGGAGCACGAGGGAGCGCTCTCCGTGATCCTGAGCGGCATCGGCCCATGTAGGTGAACGCGAGGTGGGCAGCTCCATGTGATGTGTCCAGGCTGTTAGCCAGCAGGGATTCCAGGGGGAGAGAAGAGAGCTATGCTAAAGAGAAATGCTG